CCAGCACGCCAGCAGCCCTGGCCCTCCCTGTGCTCCCTGGAGCTGTGGAAGCAGAGAAGGTTACTCTTCAGCTGCCGAGTCTCCCAGGAAAAGCTCCTCCACCCCAGGGCAGCAGGGAGGTGGGAACTGCCAGGCGGCTGCCGACACCCTGAAGCCATCCCTTTGAGGCGTGGGTACAGCCCCAGCTCCAGCGCCACGGCTTCCACTGTTCTCACGAGCTTTTGTACATATTATCAAACAAATGCTTCTCAGTTTGTCCTAAGCCCTTTGATCAATCTCCAGGGACTCTGAATGGCTCTTTGCTAAGTGTGACCAGCTTGTCAGGTCTCTCCTGGGAGCGGTTTCCCTGAGCTCCTGGCATGACTGTTCTACAGGTCCCAGCTGTCCTGGCTGCTCTTTCAATTCCCTGCATGTGCACCTGCCCCAGGGCCTCCGTACGGGCTGTTCCTTCCGCTGGCCATACTTTCTTCACATGCCACAGCTCACTTTTCAATCTCTTTTGGTCTCTGTTCAAATGTTTCCTTTTTCCTAGCAGTCAGGTAAATTAAGAAAAAAACGGTTTATTTTTTTGGCTGTGTTGGGTCCTCATTGCTGTGCGCGGGCTTTTCTCTAGTTGTGGCGAGCAGGGGCTACTCTTCGTTGCGGTACACAGCCTTCTCTTGTTGCAGAGCACGGGCTCTAGGCGCATGGGCTTCAGTAGTTGTGGCACATGGGCTCAGTAGTTGTGGCTCGCGGGCTCTAGAGCGCAGGCTCAGTAGTTGTGGCACATGGGCTCAGTAGTTGTGGCTCGCGGGCTCTAGAGTGCAGGCTCAGTAGTTGTGGTGCACGGGCTTAGTTGCTCTGTGGCATGTGGGATATTCCCGTGCACGGGCTAGTTGCTCTGTGGCATGTGGGATATTCCCGAAGCAGGGCTTGAACCTGCGTTGGCAGGCAGATTCTTAACCACTGTGCCACCAGGGAAGTCCCACATGCTTTATTTTTTTCCACATGGAGCTCTTGTCCCCAGGTGACGGGCATGCATTTTATCTGTTTGTTCACCCCCCTCCCCCCGGCCCCCGGGTCAGCATCGTCAGGCACCGACTTGGTCTGCGTTGACTGCTGCCGCTGCAGCATGTAGCACAGAACACGGCCTGGCACACGGCAGGCACTCAACATTTGCTGAATGAATGAGTGATTTGCTATAGAGGATACACACTGTTAGTACTGGAGGGAAAGATACCCATTTCGCAGTCTTCTTTTTTAGGCCGCGTTGTGCAACTCGCAGGATTTTAGTTCCCTGCCCAGGTGTCAAATCCTAACCACTGGACCGCCAGGGAACTTCCGAAGTCTGTCTTCTAAGGAGGGTGGCTCCTGCAAGGCTATCGTCTGCCACGTAGGAAAGGGGAGGGCACTGAGCATGCCAGCCGGTGCTGAAAGGAGCTGACCAGATGGATGAGTCTGTGGGTGAGGGCATGGAAACGGTGAGAGATCCCCAGAAACCCCACTCTGAGAACTGCCGTGTTTCAAGGTGATTTTAGGTAGTGGTGGCTGAGTGACATAACCCTGCCCCTAACCCCGAACCTTCAGGAACAGGTTGGCTCCCTGGTGCCTGCAGCATCTCAGGAGGGGTGGGCCGGGCTCAGGCCCCTTGCCCCACACTCAGGTAAAGGAATGGGGAACCAGACACTGGCAGAGGCGGACAGCGGGTGTGGGCGCCCGAGGACACAGACCCTGCTGGGACTTCGCATTCACCTCGGGGAGGAGTCCCAACTGGCACCAGGCAGACAGGAAAGCTTGGCTGACATCTGAGCTCCGTTTATATCAGCAAGAGCCTGGCACCAAACGCCCGTCGCTGGAGGAACAGGTGGATACAGGCATCTCGTGGTCCTGCTGCTGAGACGGGGGTCGGGGAGGACGTATGAGGGCGTGGGGGCCTCACGGGTGTTCCAGGTGTTATTTTATGGGTTAAGTGACCCTCTGCGGACGTGTCTGGGATCCAAACCGTGACCGAGGAGCGTCTGTTCGGGGAACACGTGTGTATATAGGCCAAGAGCAGGTAGCGGTGCTCTGCTTGCCTGGCGAGACAGGGCCGTCTACCTTTCCACTCGGGGAAGCTGAACAGCGGCAGGCACCTCTCTGTGGTGGAGATGGGGGTCCCCGCCCAGGACACCGGCGTCCCCTACAACCATCCTCACAGGCCGAGGCCTGAGGAGCAGGGTGCTTCAGGCCTGGCAGTGGGGGTGTCCGTGAGCAGCCGCAGGGCGAGACTCGCCACAAACCCCCTTGCCGGCTCCAGGCAGGGGATGCACAACAGAAGGACGGGTGCCCAAAGACGCCTGTGCTCAAACACTTACCACTGTCCCTAACGTCAGCGAACCCCGGCTGCATTATAATAGCTCCGAAAGAGGCATAGTTTTACATACGCTGACAGTCAAGATCAAGTACAAATCTGAGGGCAAAGACTGATTTTTTTATTGGATTTGGCTTTGACGAGTACTGACAAACCCTGCAGACACGAATACAAAATGATTGTAAACAAGCAGGCCTTGTCAGCAGCCAGGAAAATTCAGAGAAAACACACACACACTAGTCAAAAGACAGATTCAATTTCATATTCCTTCCAACACTAGCGACTGCTTCCCGATTTTCTTTATGCTTTTCTTTGTGCTTCAGTTCAGCAAAAGTTAGAAAAGGATAATACATTTGCAAAGTGTGACACCAAATTGTACAAAACTGATCAGTCCTATGGGGTAAGAGGCAAGATGATCACTTTACAAAAGACCGTAAGATCAGCAGCATTAATTTAAATTATTTCCCCTTCTGGACTTCCAAGTCCCCCTGGCAACTTTAGCTAGGAAAATACATGCATCCAATAGAAAACTGGTATTGTAAAGACATTTTCCTTATGTGATACATTCTTGGAGTGTATGGAATGAGAATTTTAAAAAATTGTATTTTTTCTTTCTTTGTTGCCAAAACTTAGGCATTAGAAATAAGCCACAGTAAACCTACTGAGCTTACCCACAAAATGGAGTAAGTCAGGACAGATTCAGAGAAGGAGAGATGGAATCCAAGACACACTGTCACTCCTGGGGCTCCGGGCCTCAGGCAGGACGTGCCCAGGACACCCCACTGGGGCCTCAGGAGCGACAGATGACATATCAGAGCGAGGGAGAAAGCCCCCGCTCTCAACTGCAGGACAAACGAGCCATTTTTGCCGTTGGATGTCTTGCTAAGACATCTTAACATCGTTGGATTATACGGCCCATTCGGCTATATGACCCATCCTGAACGCTGAAATAAAAAATTGTTAGAAAAATAATTTGACCAAGGATAACGAAACAATTTTTTTAAAAACAAAAAGTTAAAAATATCTGAGTATTCACATCTAACCTTTTCACACTATCAGTTTTGGTTTCGATGGATCCTATCAAAGGCAGCACACTAAAAACCATGCAACCACCACAAGGTTACAATGACTACTTAACAGCACGATGTTGATGCTTTCTTTTCTCGCGGCCTGATTATGATACAGCTTTGTTAGAAAGCGGGCCAGGAACAAAGCTCGCACACCCTCCTTCCTCACCAGGCCCCCGCAGGCCGGCCCACCTGACCTGCAAGTTGTCAGCTGTGGTCTTTGCAGAGGACCCCACCCTGATCACGTGATCGAGGAAACCAAAGTCACATCAGCCCTGCAACCCCAGTGAGGCCCTGTCACCCAAGTTGCAGCTGGGGCCACCAAGGCAATGCTGGGGTCCTGTGCTGGGGAGTAGCGAAGGGGGCTGGCTTGGGCTGTGGTGAGAAACTGGGGCTCCTGCACAGGGGGAGGGAGAAGGCCCGAGGTCTCCGGAGCCAAGAGCGAAACTATGTCCCCGGCAAATTCTGCACCACCTCCTTAGGGCTGTAAACTCCAGACAGAGCCGGGAGGGGCCCCAGGGGCTTCTCTAAGGTTTCTGGGTCTGTGTCCCACCTGCCACTCAGGCTCGAGGGACAGACACAGTTTCCCAAGACAGATCAATCACCTAGCCAGCTCTGCTCTAAGCTGCATTTCTGTTTTTCCAACTGAAGTCTGAGCGCCTTCCACCCCGATTGCTGTAATTAACTAAAATTAGAGCTTTATAAAAATCTGTAAGTGCAAGCTTCGACACTTAAAAAAAGGTAGCTACAAACAAATAAATAAGCACAGACAATTCTTAAAGGCTGCTTCTTTTGCCTTCTAGCAGGAACCCAGCTTTCAGACACAGTGGCCGCGCCTCTGAAGACGTGAATTGGGACTGAAGATGGGGAAGCTGCTCTTGGGGCCGCCAGCCATGGAGGGTGTCGGCTCACACAGCAAGAGGACCCGGGCGCCCAGGGGGGGCACCCTAGGCTGGCCCAGAGGTAGGAAACCAGGGAGGAAACCAGGCCAAGGCAGAGGGAAGGAAGTGTCTGACCCCCGAGGGCAGAGGCTCTTCTCTCCCGCCCCAGTGCCCCCAACTCGCGGGGTCACCCCCGCTGAGCACGCACTGCGAGCACGCAGAAAAAGCACGGTATTGCTGATGTGGTTACAAGTCACCTCTACCCCAAACTGCTAAACACCCCCAGAACACGGGAACAAAGCCCTACATGCTTTGAAAAAGAAAAAAGACAGACCGTTAGACCGAAGACCACCAGAAAACCAGCCTCGCTTGGCAGTTCCACACGTGCTGGGCGGGGCTGGTGAGGAACTGGGCCCCGCGATGCCACCGCGTACATCAGTGCAGGGGCACCGGGCAGTGTGCTCTCGGCCCATGGGCCTCGCCGCCACGGCGGGGGGCCCTGAGGTCGCCCACAGCTGGGAACATCCTGGGAGCGGAGAGCTCGAGCACGAATGTCGTCTGCAGCAGAAGCTCAACCCAGACGCCCGCGGCCCCGCGGCTCACCCAGAACCTCGTACACACAACTCATGGGAATTTATAAAACAATAAAAAGGCCCCACCTTTTAAACGTTATAATTTATAGAATACTCTGTACAAAAGCAGTCTGTGAAAGGACTGACTACCCTAGAAGAAGTCTATAGCCGTCGGCCTCCTCTTTGGCGTGCTGGTCAGCGACTTCTTGGTTCCCAGGGGCGTGCTGGCCGGCGAGCTGCTGGGGGTCTTCAGCACTCCGTGGAGGGGTCTCTGCTCAGGGTTGAAGGCCACCCGGGAGGGGCCCGTGGGACTGACCAAGATGCTCTTGTCCGTCTTCTTGAATTCTGCCCCGGATGAAAGCAAGACCACAGGTTAACAGGGTGCGCACGCCTCCCTCTGTCCTGCCCATCCGCCCACCTCGGTGCTGCCGGCAGCGCAGGCTCCCGCAAGCCCTGAGCCACGTGCTCACTCCCGGCAAGGCGGCGCCCTCGCCAGGCCCGGGGCCTGAGAGCCCGGGAGGAAATGGAGTCACCAGTGAGGCTCCTTCCCTCAGACGACTTTTATCCTCCTCGGAAAACACCCTGAGGCCGCCGGCACGGACGTGGGGGGAGCACCAGGCGGGCCAGGTCGCGGGCGGTGGTTACGGAACATGGGAACTCGGTGAACCCCCAATTTGGGTCTGGGATGAACCCCAGGTTTAGACAGTTGAAGGAGGAGCCTTTCCTTCCTGGTGGATTTGTTCCCCCCATTTTCTCCAGCGCTGAAGATGAGAGCTTCACAGGTCCTCTCCAGACAGCCCCTCCCTTCTGCACACGTGTGTGTGCACGCACAAACACACACACGCACACGTGCACACAGACGTTTACTTGTGGTCCTTAAAAACAGCCAGGACCTAAACTCATTATGTACTTGTAAAAACCTTTGTTTCCTCCTTTGAAAGACAAAGCAAGGCAAGTGAATCACACCCGTATTGAAAGCGGTAAGACAAGCGTGCCGCCCCCCC